GTGTGTGTGTGTGTGTGCAACAGGCCCAGGCCACATGACGGTTCTTTTAAGTCGGGGGTCGGCAACATGCGGCTCCAGAGCCGCATGCGGCTCTTTAGCGACATCTAGTGGCTCCCTGAAGCTTTATAAAAAAATGTTTGAAAATGGAAAAAGATTTTATTAGTAGGCTAATATAGCTCAAATAGATATAGATATATGTTGCAGCTCCGAAAAAGGAGAGCTGTGGTGTTGTTTTTTTAAAAACGTACACTTTATGCTTTTAACAGTCTCGACAAAGAGAGACCCATCTGCTTCCGACTCCGTGCCTTCTCTCTTCTCTTTCGACTCGAGAGGCGTTCAAAGACAGCCTCAGAAAAATGGAAATTAATGATCACTTCACTAAGTGACACCAAGAAAAGCGAAAATAATGCACCAAAACAAAAAATCAAGCGAGGAAATTACAAAATAAATTCTATGGGGGCGTTTGTGAACACACAACAAAGGAATGAATAACATAAACAATTCCGTGACGGTCCAGTCTCCTACATACATACAGCATGTGTTTCTTTCATTGTTAGTTTTATCGAAGGCTTTTATTTTTTTTTGCGGCTCCAGACATATTTGTTTTTTGTTTTTGTTTTTTTTGTCCTATATGGCTCTTTCAACATTTTGGGTTGCCGACCCCTGTTTTAATTTGTGACGTACAGCGGTTCACTTTGTTTTACAATTGGATGGGTGACAGTATTATTCATGATGTCAGCTCAACTCAATATGACCTCCACAGCCACTTCCTGAAACACTAGAAGGTCAATAACAAGTGAGTATGTTTACTCAGAGGTGGACAGTCTCTTCGACCTGGACAGTGGACAGAGGAGTCGGTGACAGTGAGGGGGAAGAAAGACAGGAGGAGGCGGCTGCTCGCTGGGAGGCTCCAATAAAATGTAATCCTGTTATATACGCTCCCCACTTGAGGGCAACAACAATAATAAAGATTTCCCTAATAACGCAGACCAAAAACCCAAATGGAACACAAGTCCCGCGGTCAAGTGGCACGCTTGTACATACATCCTCTCATTAGCCCCATTGCTGTCGGGCCGGCGAGAGGCCTCCGAGATGCGGGCGCGATGGCGAGGCAAGAGTTAAGTCAAACAAATGTGTTTCATCAAACTGCACTTTGCGCTGCTCTGCATAAAGGAATTGCGGGAGGAATGAACGCGGAGCGGGGTGCGAAGTTGGAAGCCCCGAGGAAACCAATCAGCACTCGTAGACCTCCCTTCCTGTGTCAAAAACACTGAGGTCTCAGGTGTGTGCTACCAGATGGCATTGTTTGTGTAGCAATCACTCTTGTGCACCATAAACACAATCTGGATTTATACTACACACACAAGTGACCAAGATCTGATTCTTCGGACTATTTCCATGTATGTTAGTTATAAAGGAGACATCCTGCAGGTACAGCTCCCCAAATTTCATGTCCATTACTCCACGACTGTCATTGGGTAATCACAACATGAAAGTAAGTAATGATAGGGTTTCTCATGAGTTCAATGTACGTAACATGACAACCCAAAAAGTCATTGCGTCTTAGTCTGTCAAACTGAATCGAATCAGAATCCCACTGAGTCGAACGGAATCGAATCGTTCCACTTTCAAATTGAACTGTCCCTGAATGGTTTCGCACGCCACGTATATCGATATTAGTACGGCCCGCAAATTTTTAATGGAGCAACCAAATTACAAGACGACAGATGTATACATACCAGAGGAAAACTGCTTTTTCGCGAAGCAAATTGAGGAGAACATAAAACAAATCAAAGTAAATCTTTTTACATATTACACATTTCCATATTGAATAATTTTGAATACGAATGTTCTCATTTATTTTTTTAAATTATGATTATTTTTTATGACTAATGAATAAAAATGTTTTAGAAAAAGGGCACAGTGCTCATTGCTAACCCAAATTATCCGGCAAACCCAATAAAACCTTCGCAAAGATGAGAAAAAAAAACCAAAATGATTTTGAATTTCATCTAATACTACGACTTGACTCTCTAAAATGTTTCCTCCAAATTCTACCCCTTCCCTCCAGTAAAATTACAAATTCAATTCGCCAGCTTTTAACCTCAAGAATCTCAAAGTTTTTATCTTAGATATCCAACACATTTCGCCCTCAAAGATACAACTGCATTTCTTCTCAGTGAGGTCTTCGTTGTTGTAATGGTGTGATTGTTGGTTTTGCCATGTTGGGTGTTCCATGTCTTTGCATAACAAGCATGCCTTGCACTGCAGAACCATATTGACAAACGCTCCAACGTATGTGATGTGATGGTGTAATGAATGCCTTATTATTACACCTGCACACCCTCTCGAATGCTTTCCCTCAAATATTCATCATGAGTGACAGGGTGAGTGAGAAAATCAATCATATTCTCAAGACAGCGTGAATTATTAAGTGAGCCGGTGTAGCAAAGCCTGGCAATGGCAACGTTATTTATCTGTGTGAGTGCGTGTGCGCGTGTGACAGCATCAGAACGGAGTGTCACCAGCCTTCCTGTTCCTGCATCTCCCTGTGAGCCCGGAGCGCCACACTCAAGGCACTTTGCAGAATCAAACAATTTCACGCAGCTACTGGAGGAGGAAATGAACTGGGCCGCGAGCAATAATAAAATTATACAAATGTTATTACAGACTCGCCTGCTACTGTCCTACTTTAATTCAAATGTGGGCACTCCAGGCAGCGCTTGTGGCACAAACCTTCCTGAATAAATCAACATTAGCTTACGTCTAAATTATTAAGGAAGTGGGAGACTTTCTTGTTTATAGTATGAATTATTGAATGAGTGTTTAACGCAGTTTTTCCTCCACGAATCCCCAAATATTAATTGCTAATGATCTTTAAGGTGTGTGTTTTATCTTTTACCCTTTCTGCACCACGCTGGGGATTGAAATTACAAATGCAAATTGTCAAGTGTGAAGAAGTCAATTTGTACTCGATGGATGAGTGAACAAACTATATGTTTGTTAGCTTAACGTGGAAGAAAAAATCTGTGAAAAAAGGAGATGTTTACCCCTCTGTATGTGGACTGCAAATGAATTGGGGAGCGTTGGGGGGGGGGGGGGGAAGCCACCACAGGTTAAGTATCTTTATTTGTATCTTTTTTAGAACATAATTTTTAAAAAGAGCATATTACCAACAGTCAAACACGGTAGTGGTAGTACAATAGTCTGGACCTGCTTAACTGTTTCAGGACCTGGACGGGCTTGCTTTGATTGATGGAACCATGAATTCTGCTTTTTACCATAAAATTCTGAAGGACAATGTTTGGCCATCAGTTCTGGACCTCGAGCTAGTGTGTACTTGTGTTCCGCAGCAGGACAATGATCCATAACATCCCACGTCTCTCTCTCTCTCTCTCTCTCTCTCTCTCTCTCTCTCTCTCTCTCTCTCTCTCTCTCTCTCTCTCTCTATATATATACATACACACACACAGGGATCGAGCTTATATCAATCGAGTTTATATGAATTAAAATGGTCAAAAGGAGATTAGGGAGGCCGTAACTGAGGTACATATTGAAGACAACAACTGCAAAATAGTTAGATGGGCCGTATCAGTCACAGGTATAGCTGCGCATGTGTTGAATTGTACAGTATTTCCAAGTGCGCAATGGAATGTGCACATTGAAGGCTCGTGGACGCCCTCCCCTGGAGAAACACTTGAGGTGAGCCTTTATTTTACACAAGAGACCACGATGTGATGCTGTTGTCGCATTCTGACTGCGCGTGCGCGCGTGAGGGCGCGTGAGTGTGTGTGGGTGTGTTTTTTTTGGGGGTGGGGGGTATTATCATCAATTTGTGTCATGCACATGGGAGTGACGATGAGCAACAAATTACAATGGAATTAGTTCATACGAAAATTTCACTTAAAATTACTCAAGCATAAGTCATCCAAGGATAAGTGACTTGCAGCTGGATGTTTTTTTTTTTTTTTAATCGTGTTAGGGGTGTGCTCCAGTGCTGTACCTGCTTCCACAAAATGTGTGAAATGCCGCCCATATCCCCAGCTCACAAAATAAAATTTTTGGTAGCAGATCGTCAAAAGCTAAAAGATACAAAAATTTGTAGTGTTATTCATCTCTGATGTGTTGAGTCGATAGTTATGTACAGTCCATATTTTGGTAAAACTTTATTATCACATTACATAAAATTCACAGCACCAATTTCCAGACCAGATGATACACAGTTGAGTTCAAATAAAAAGCTAAACAATCGAGTCATCCATCTTTTTTTCGATGATGGAATAAAACAGGTAAACCAGTGCATGAAATTAATTACAATAACCATATATTCTCCTGGAGTATGAAGTACAATTATTTCACAGTGTAAATAAAAAAAAAATAGAACATTTTTCACAAGAGAGCATACAGCTATGCACTGAAAATCAGACTTTACACAGATCTGATCGACTGGATCAGATCGTCAGATATTTTGCATCTTATGCAAAATCGGTGATCGAATGTCTTAATTCACATGATTGATCAGTGACATTACTGATCGTCTCTGCAAAACAAGACATAACACAATCTTATTCACTCCAGCTAAGTTCTGTGCTGCCATCGTTTAATAACCTAAAGTTTCTCTGTTTATGCAGTCCGTTTTCTTGATTTTTTTTTTTCATCCATCCATCCATTTTCAAATTCGCTTATCCTCATGGTGTTCGCAGGCGTGCTGGAGCCTAACCCAGCTGTCTTTGAGCAGCAGGTGGGGGACACCCTGAACTGGTTGCCAGCCAATCGCAGGGCACACAGAAATGAACAGGCGTTCTCATTCACACTCACAACTATGGACAATTTAGAGAGTTCCATTAACTTGCCCTGCATGTTTTTGGAATGTGGGAGGAAACTGAAGTACCGGGGACGCAGGCACGGGGAGAACATGCAAACTTCACACAGGGAGGCCGGAGCCACAATCGAATCCTGCACCTCTGCACTGTGAGGCGGACGTCTCGCCTGATTTTTTTTTTTTCACCCTTTGTTAAGACCAATTTTTTTAGATTTAGTGTCGAGTCCCTCCATTTTCCGTGTATTGAATGTTTTCAGCTTTTTGGGGACATTTGTTTTCGGGTTTATGCCTTTTTTTTTTTTAATCCAATGCATTTCAATGGGCATCAACTATAGGCTATTTGTAGGCTGGTTTAGGTTTAGGTCAATTCCCTGTGATTAGCGGGGTTCAACTGTACAGTAAATGAACAAGTTATTTAAATAGATTGGAATCGTGTAAACCCTACTGATCAGAGAGAAGAGTAGGCCACCTTACCGTACATTAGTTGTGTCGTAATACGCTTAACCAGGAGTAAATGTGACACTAATCCCAAAATAACAAGGCCCAATTTTCCACCCGACTCGTTCACCGTTGCCTAATGAAGATCCTACGTAAATTGATGGACCATAAAACACCCACTTGGACTGCAGGTGTCTTCCTGCTGCTAGCAAAGCTATATGGCAACTTGTCATCGAAATTGTTCAGTGCACAAACCCTCTTAGGCTGAAAACGCATTCAAGGATGAATTATCTGAAGGCATGGGAGGTGTAGGGTTGGGGGACTCAAGATGAAAGCCAAAAACTCTTGTCATTCTGTCTTGTAGCTTACTCTCCATTCTCATTCCGAATCTGCTCGTCATACAGTGGACAGCACTTCTCTCGTTGGCGGCGGGTCTTTCCGATCGGTCCTCTTCTTCCTTTTGACCGGCTGCATGGAGCCTGGTCCGTCCTTGTCCACCTCTTTGTAGTTAACTGTTTGGTCCTTAGGAATCACCTGTCCTGGACTTGGCTTGCCACAGGCCGGGCAGAACAGGAACTCATACAGGAGAGCCGCGAGCACACCACCCAGCATGGGCCCCAGCCAGTAAACCTAGAGAGGGGTACAAAACACACCTATTTGCAACATCTTAACCATTTTTTAAAAATCATGAATCCCCACACATGAAAAATGAAAACCAAGAAAGCACACCACATCCACAAAAGCTGTTTGTTCCCATACTAACACCAATCTGTCAGAGGCAAAGTCTAATGGACAAGAAAGTTAACATTTTGTCCCTGTTAAATAGATTGAGTCGCTACTTAATGGGCTGGAGTCCGTGAATCGGACCCAACTACATGCAGATGGGTGAGAAATCACTCAGGATCATTTTTTCAGGATCATTTTTTTACCTCAAATTAGGCCCGATTATTATTAGGGGTCGCTATACTTTTTCGATGGATTCTAGCATGTAGCCTAAGGTGGACAAAGGTAAATGAATGGTCTGGCAAACTTTGTGAAGGGTAATCTCATTCATGAGCCGGATGTGACGATACAGTCACACACGCCATTTAAACCAAGAGCTACCAAGGTGATTAAAGTAGAAAGGGAATATTTCAAACTCTAGAACCTCAGAAAGCTTTCTTACCCAGTGATCCTTAAAATTCGCCATGACCACTGCTGGGCCGAAGGAACGAGCAGGGTTCATGCTGGCTCCTGTGTAAGGAATCTGCAAAGATATAGAAGCCAAAAATTAATCGTCACAATAATGCGGAACGTTACAACACAGCGAGGAAAATTCATTTGAGCAAATCAGTGGGTGTCTCCCTCCTCTAACACAACTGATTTAAATGATCGGCTTCTCAGAGCTTGCTGATGAGCTGATCTTTTGAATCACGTGTGTTGCCGGAGGGAAACATCTGAAGCGTGCTGGATAGGAGGCACTTGAGGAGGGTTTCGGCAAGCTCCCAGCGGCAGGTTGCTATGCCATGATAACGACAACGAAAGATGGGCAATCAACACACAGAAGCGCAGTGTCACATCGTTTCTTGTTGTGAGAGTGACTATTTGTGAACATCATGGAAGGGCAGATCAATATTGCATTAATGATCAGACACTGTGGTCTGAGGAAATGTACATAGCAGCCCTTGGCTCTGTGGAACATACACGTAAATGGCAGGAGTTCCCACCATTGACGACTACCAGGTCACGCAGTGCCATCCGGGCCCCCGGCAGTATTAATCAGTCAGTCCCATCGAGGCGGTTCGTTCTTTGAGTTGAGTTGTTCCCAAAGTTAGGTCCTGTAGAAGCCAACTGTTTGTTTTCCCATTGATGATACCCAAGAATCTTCCTAAGCAAAGTTGTTTTCTTTTTTTGAACTCTTCACACGCAGAGAACGGCCAGCAGGGGGCGGCGCGGCTTCACTTGCCTACCCTGAGCACACCTCTGGATTGAAGAGTGCCACTTTTATTAAACCATAAAAAGCGACTTTTGAGGAAGAAGCAGGTTTGTACAGAGCCGCGCATTCGCTGGAAATACGGGCGCAGCGCCGCCCTAACACGCCGTCGCCAAGACAAATGATGATGGCGGAGTGATTGCAGAGTTGAACGTGCAAGACTTTAGCGTTGATGTAGGCTGCAATGACGAAAAATTGAGAAACTTGCCAAGGTACACCTTGAAATCATCTCCAAGTGACTGGAGCTCACCGAGAACGCTCAACTCACTGAGAACCTACCTTGTCTCTTCAGGCTGCAACTCACAATTATTTTAGTCATCAATTAAATATTAGAACAGAATCTTATTGTTATTGTAAAAAAAAAAAAAAATAGTCATCCCCATATGTAAATTAACCGTTAGGGCTTGGTTAAGAACAACAAACTAATCAGTATAAAACAGCATTTTCTGTGAAGTGGTGGAGATAGGCACCGCATTCTTATCTCCACCGCTTCACAGAAAATCCATTCCACTTCTTCATTAATTGCCATGCATTAAAATTAACCATGGGGGTGTCGGATGTCATTTTGGCGAATACAAGACTGCCTAGACATAAGGATGGGAACACTAGACATTCATGAATACAATATTGATCTGTTTCCCCGTCAAGACCTCAAAATGGACCGTCGGAGGTACACTTGAACCTTCTAGCTTTTCATTTGGCACAGACAGGCTAATAGTGGTGCATGAATGTTGCTCGATGTGTTTGTGATAGAATTCAAAATACAAGGCGGCCGTGGTTCAGGAGGTAGAGCGTCCGGTAATTGATGGGTCCGCTGTTCGAATCCTGCTCTGTCCAAGTCATGCATGTGATGTTGTGGCTACATAGTAGATGTGTAAAATTAGCACACCAGCCACTGTTATCCACTGTTAAATGTGAAAATACATTACCGTGTAAAACAATAGCAAAATACCGGTGTCCCTGCTGCCAGTAATTTACCGTCATTTTACACCAAATTTCTTCATGGTGTACTCACCCCAAATAGGTGACCAATCGTTACGGACAGCCCAATGGCCAAGGAAGCTGATCCGCCGAGGTCAGTGCGTTTGGAGTCGCATGTGGCAAAAATGGTGAAGACCAGCTGGAACGTTAAGAGCAGTTCCACCAGTAAGCCCTTTCCCACCCCCACCTCTGCATTCACCTGAGCAAACACAAAGATTTTTTTTGGATTATTATTTTTTAAAGGAAAGACAAAGTATGTCAAATCCAGAGTGCTCACCGCAGAGATGCCCATATTATCCGTGAGGGTGGAGGGTGTGACGAGGCGCACGATCCCAGAACCTGCCATTGCGCCCACTAACTGGGCCACCAAGTAGAACAGCGCCTTTACTATGGTCACTTTCTTGGTCACGAGCATCGCCGCCGTGACAGCCGGATTGATGTGTCCGCCACTAATGTGGCCAAAGCATTGCACCAAGGTGGCAATGGATAAGCCAAAGCACAGCGAAATGAGGACCTTGGGGTCAGGCGTACTTTTCGAACTGTTGGTCAATGCTGACCAATTGATAGTGGAGCCCACACCGAGAAACACAAACAGGAGCATGGCCAGGAATTCTGCACCTACGGCCCTCCAGAAATCCTTGGTCTTTAAATGTTCCACTCCTGTCATTATGCTCCTGTGGCAAACAGAATGAAGAATGTTGCATGCGCCACACAGATTTACACTGATCTGCACACTAATTTACAAGTGTATAAAATGCTGTCTCCATGAGTGAAAATCTTTTTTTTGTCCTCACCGGTGTTCACTTTTTTAAATTTGAACTTTGAGCTTTGGCTTCCTTAAGTAGAGACGGTGTGCCTCAGCTTCCCAGTTGTCATAATTTAAGCCTACATTAGGCCGACTAGTAAATAGTCGACGGGGGAGTTGTGAGTCATTTCCTTGAGACAAAACAGAAATTTGCAAGGAAAAAAAAAGACAGTGGAGAAACTTTTGCGGTTTTTGCAGAAACAATGCCATCGGCATGTTGTTTTAAATTGTGCAAATTATGCATTTTCTTACAAGCAATAATCAACTGATTTTTGAGTAACATCTAAAGCGGTGATCACACATGCTGATTTTTAATCTCTTAATCATTTTAACTATCTTTTGAGTTTGCGTTTTTATAAATGGCGTGTTTGAAAAGCAGGTGCAAACGAGGGCTAGCTCCGTTGATATGGCATGACGCCTTCTTGTGACTGACTCAGAGTCTGCCTTTATCATTCAGAAGCTCCTAAATGGTATTGCTGAATAGACAATGATGTGTCATGATCATTTTTGTTGGCATTTTCAAAACTGCCTGTGCAATGCTGGCACATCTTTGGTCCATTCATTGATTTGCACAGTACACTGGTCTTCGGCCCGACACTTTCTTCAGTCCACGCACTTGTGTTAGTTTTAGAAATTAATTAGCAGTCTCAAGTATTGCAAATTGCTTGCTTTTTTTTTGTATGAAGAGAGATTTGTCTCAAAATTATTCACACAAATCCATCTGTGATGCGCATTTATTTTCAAGTTTGAACATTCACGCGTGGAAAGGCCCACCCTCCTCCACTAAGAGGCAGTGTTATTGTCTCTGTTAAACGAGTCTCTCTTACAAATTGGAAACTGCAAAAAAAAAACATGCATTTTAAAAATCATTTTTACGATACAGTCCTTTAATTTTCGAAGGCGACTTTTTTCTTCTTTACTTTGCTGTAAATGTCTTTAAAACTTTTGCTTTATTAAATAAACTACTTTTTCTCTTTTGCTTGGCCTTTGAATGCCTTCAGCTGTCTATTTATGAACACTTTAAGGTGTTGTGCTTTTTGGTTATGTCATCAGGGCAACAATTTTGATATTTTACTCTTGCGAATCAATGCTGGATCATAACATTTTGTACCAAACAACACATCAATAATTTTTGTCGACGCTATTTGTAAAAGTAGTTGGACAATATGCTGTCAGTTCAAAAGACAGCCAAATGCAGTAATAAACAGTCATGCAGTACTTACATAGCAGCAGCTGGTTGTGCGGAGCTGATGGCCGCTCTGTCATTCGAACGTGATCCGGCAATGGTACCCTGGGATTGCACGCCTGGCATCACCTCTCGGGAGTTATAATAATGCCTGCACAAGTTGGGAGGAGTCAGGGATTTTTACTCGCTGTGCAATCAGTAACACTGCGTGACCATAAGTTGAGTCAAACAGGCTCATCGTCATGTGAGGGTTGTGTGCTGTCCAGCCCTTAAGTAGCACACACACACACACACGCACGCACGCACGCACGCACGCACGCACGCACGCACGCACGCACGCACGCACGCACGCACGCACGCACACACGCACACACACACACACACACACACACACACACACCAATATCTATATACTGTATACTGTAAATGTATGGGCAGCACAGTGGCAGACCATCAGCGACACCAAATAAATCCTCTCCATAAAACCCAAGTACCTGGTTTGTTTGCTGTATGAAAATACTGTAGTGTGTTGAATTTCTCCTGATGAAAAACCATGCAAGTGTTTGTATTGTGACATTGTATTCTGCTGTTTTCGTCAGGTATGTTGTGTCTGTGTGCCCTTTTTCTCATAAAGTCCATGGGGAGGGGTACATTGTATCAATATAAATGACAAGGAGGACATTGTTTTCTGTCGTTTTCGTCAGTCTTTGTGATTGAGACGATTTGACGGAAGACAAGAAATCCTGCTGTGTCACCAATATTCTTAAATGCAACGCAGTCAGACACCACAGGTTACATTAGTACAACTAGTGGTGCATGGTGTCCCTCAAGTGATAAGCAAAAGAATCACTGTCAAAGTATTTAATTTTTTTAAAGTAAAATACATTGTGCTTAATGGCATAGAACTGTTTGTTTTTAAACAACTATTGAAACACAATTTATTGAATTTTTGTGTGCAATACATTTTAACATTTGGTAGTTTTTTTCCCCCTCATATATAGGACAAGCATAACTCTTCACACCATGCATGTCAGTCGCTTACAATAATATAATTTTAGGTATAAAGCCTGTCGTGTTTTGATGAACACCTGGGCCCTCTTCACTACTGTATTTTAGTCTTTATAGTCTTGAGCACTTATTTAGGTGGTAGTTAGTGTAAAAAGTTTTGAGTACCACTGGATTAAAATGAAGCAATGTTTTTATTCTAGGAAGTGCGATTATTTCCTCATGTTATATGGACTTGCATAATTTTTTTCGGGAAATGAATCATTTGAAACGAACCTCTGGTGCGTTCTTACCATTTTTGAAAGTTGGAATCCAAGCATGAAATGTTGAAAATGGCAACTAATGGACTGATAAAGTTGAGTCGAGTTAGAAATCATCAACCTGGGCTTTATATATGACTAGTAAACGTATGCTTGTAATTTTGCGCCTTGTATCGAGGGTGTTCTGCGTAGATATTTATGTGGTATTTTAGTGTGATAAAGTTCCAGATTGTCTTTGAATTAGTCATACTTACAGCGCTCTCCTATGCTCTACTTGCAGGTGTGTTGATGCTAATTATATATATATATTTCAATTCGTTTGTCCCTCAAAAGTTTTTTATTCCCAAAAATGATGCGATAACGCAATTTTAAAGGGAAAGCGACTATTTTAATTCGCTAGCCTGATGTGCTAAAGGCCGTATGTGTGGTTACGTTAGCATATGAAATCATCTTTGTGTCGGCGATCACGACCACCTTTTCGTGCAGATATGTGGCCGAAACGCTTTGATTTCGTAGAGAAATGAGCTCATCTAAACACTCGCTGGTCTTTGACGCTAAGTAAACGTTCTCATTTAAAACCCAAGGCGTGTTTTTTTTACATGCATCGATGACATGCGTCAGTATACACAATCTTTGATACGTCTCGAAGCTAATTTTAGAAGCCGAAAATAATGTATGGATGTTTACATCGCTCAGTTGCACATACACAGTGCAACATGATGTTAAAATGAGAATGCCTTTACACCGATGTGGCTGAATTAGCGTTTGTTTTGTTCAGACAGCTCTGGATCCTTAAAATTCCGAGGTATTTGAACGTCCCACCAGTGACAGCTGAAAGGGCAGCTTGATAGTGCACAGACATTTTTTAGTAGCGCCACAAGGATGGGATGTTTTAGATAACGAATATAAGAGTAATGCACACGACTCGTTAATAAATTCTCATTTTTAAGAAGGATGTGAGAAGTGGTGGTCTACCTAGGGTCATCCAACCTTATTCCAGAAACGTGCATTTTCCATTCATTGAACGCTCTTAATTGCTCTTATAAATGTGTGTCTGTCTACAGTATACAGTGAAAGTGATACCCTAGATAAGGGATACCCACTGCGAATCAATTGCATGATTTGTTTGCTACAGTTTTTACGTCGGCTGCCCTTCTGACACAGACCCATTCATCCATCGATCAGATGACTGTAAATCATGTAAGTAAAAGTCTGAAGATTTTTTTACTCTGTTCAAGTCATAAGTTTGCTTCTTCGAGTTACCTCGTAGAGAAACAAACATTACGTCACTTATGTCCAAAAACCATGGTTGATTATCACCAAAATTTATGTGCACATGTTTATGCATATCCTAATCAGAGTCTGAAAGTACGAGAACAAAAGCCGCAATATATTTGATTTGATTGAGGTCGGGAGCATACCCTCTTCATATTGCCTCCTCGAGAACAAACGATAACATGACTTCATGTACAAAAACTGTGAACGATTGTCAGCAAAATTCATGTGGACATGTAAATGCAAGCCCACTTGATGTTCCAAAAATATTACAACAATTGGCCGAGTATTTTGGATTTTACTCCATTTGTCTTTGATGAGGATGTTTGGACATGTTTGGACTTACTCACATCCATAAAATCAAAAATATAGCCACTTTAATATAGTAACATGTAATCTAACATGGGTCCTTTAAAATTAAGTAATCAGTCAAATGACTAAGGTACTTTTTAAAGGTATATGTGGGAACACTGCCCTTACATAACGGTGCTAATAAACCCGAAAATGCTACATTGTGAAAGAAAATAAAGAAATCTCATCTTATTGAGCTGGTACTTATCTAAAAATTCACCCTAATTTCATGTCATTTGTACAAAAAGAAATCAAAACTGGGACTGGAAATCCACTGAAATGTCAGAAGTAGGCTTCTTATGTATGATCTTGCACTGAAAGATCGGTGTGGTCACGACCCTTAGAGGTGACTTTTACTCTTCCATGTATGTTAATGTTTGCCTTACAGTTTGTTACACTCCCTTAATTTCACTCTCCATTAAGTATCAACACAACACCGTCAAGGTTAGCTGACCGTAGTGGCACCAGATGTTTATTCGCTCAACTGCAGGTGGAAGAAGGCTTTTTTTTGGGGGGGACAAATGATAAATTGAAAGTAGATTTATTTTTCTGGGAGTTCTCACGTTACACTTAGCAATACACAGCATACCGTTGACGAACCCATGCATTGTGTATGAATTACAAGGGCTCCAGGGTGGGATGTCGTGCCCTCAACATGAGAAATATTCAGCGGTGATGTCAGCATGTGCATCCAATTGGAGAAAGGCTGTCTGTGTGATGTCAGAATACGAACAGCAACAGACCAACCAGCGGGAAAAAAGCCTCTTTGTTACTTCCTGGTTGTCTACCATGCAAGCACTTCCAAATACTGTATGAGCAAGCTTGCACCGGGACGCTGTCGACCTTGCATACTATCTCCTCTCAATTCAATATAGTTGCTAGACACAGTGCTGCATGAATGAAGCTCCACCTCTCACTTCAACATAGTTGCTAAACACAAGACGCCACACCGTGAGGTGTTTGGGCTGTGGTGTCGACTGTAATAGAGGGACAGCCACTAATTGAGGACATGTCACAATAGTCTTAGTGGCAATGAAAAATGTTAGCTTTGTTTTGAAAACAAGTAAGAATGTCAATGAAATGGGGAAGAAAAAAACAACAAGTTTATTTAGCTCATTACATCTGACCTAATTCTTGTACAACTTGTTCCATACGAACAATTAGCACGCAAGTCGTACTCGCAAAGACAAGTAAAGCCACGAGGCATATGCCTTTATTTTACATTGATATGTAAATCACGCACGTAAACATTAACAAACCACATAAATCATTATGAAGGCAGTCTCGCTGTGAAAGCTGCGAGGCATCACGCATATCAGGGGGAGCCCCCGCTCGACTAATTATTGATATTTCGCCACAATTCTCCCAATTTGCATGCGTTTCAAGTGCAGTTTAGTCGCTGAATGTTTGTTGATACGGCCCATGTGCTTTTAATTAAGAGAACCACAGGACGATGTTCAATTTGAACCGAGGTCATTTTCTTTGTGAAGCCTCCTCTTACCTTGGCCATTTAGGATCATAATTTATGATGCCTGTTGATGGAAATATGGCTTCTGTTGCACAATTGTATAAAGGCAGTTTATGAATACTGTCGAAAGGATGTTCAATGGAACCTCCAAAGTTGTGCTCTTGACGATCACACGTGACCAGCAATGGGGAACGACCTACAGTGTTAGCTTATTTGCAATAGCTACGCGGAAGGGAGACGCCGTTGTCCCTCATTAGCTAGCATACAATTATGACAGATTAATGGAACTCATGCAGTATATTCAATTCCATTGCCTAGCTAAACAATTAAAATGAGCATATTCATAACAATGTCAAATAACTCGCACATCCCGAGGGAATCGGTCAAGGCGGGCTGTAAGCTAAATGGTCTTGGGGACCAGAGTAATAAAGGCATGCTTGGTTAGACCCTGTCTTTGTTGGCGGCGCACCACGCCAAGCCTTTTCTATCTGTTACGCAAGCTAAAGACTTTGACATACAGCCAACCCCCCCCCACCCACACACACACACACACACACGCACACACACACGTACACGCACACGCACATACTCTCACACTCTGAATGACAAAAAAGGCTTTGATGCATGAAGGACTAAATGAGGCAAAGGGATCATTTGATTTAAAAAAAAAAGGTATTTTGCTGGAATCTGATTTAAGTATCAGGCTCACTTGTTAGTTTGAGTCATCATACGAGATGTCAGTGTGTCATTAAAAAAATAGTTACAAAATAGTTCACAGGTGTCTCTAGGTCCCTCACGTTCTTCTTCTTTAAAAAAATACACAAAGGATGAAGAATTACAGTACACACTGGTTGAATGTCACTCGGCTCTGTCTCATGCGAATGCAAAGACACATTTTGTTCTTCTAACGATGAAAGTACAAAATAGCCAAACTACTAGTTACAATTTAGGATCTTCGGTGAACTTCGATCTTCTAGACCAAATGCCTCACCAAAATGATTTTGTTTTGCATATTTTTAAAAGACTCGAAAACTCGCTCATACTTTCTTTCACGCTTGAGTCTTTCCTTGTGTGTTTCAGAGTAGTCGGGACCTTGAGATTGTTGTGCGCCGCTGGACAGAAAAGCAACTTGACCTCACAATCATTTTCTGCTAAGGGCTAGAGATCACATTCCGTGCAACCGTCATTACTCCCATTTAATCAGGCAGAGATGCTGCACTTTCTACAAGGGAATGCGCAAAATTCAACTCCCCTCCCCCCAATTTCTGAAGTAGCGCAGCATCGATGCTCATTTTGTGAACCCCTGTATGACTTTTTCTTTTTGTGCATTAGAATCCAGCTAGTGAGCTCGTGAAGTTTTGTGCGTTATGAGGTTTGAGTAAATATTTTTGGGGTCTGAAAGTGGTATTGTGATTAATATTAATTTTGTGTAGTTAGTAAGAGTCAAGCCGAACAAACTCAGATATCAGGTGAGCTGTGACGTTTGCAATTCAAACCCGAAGGCAGTTTGATGTCAATTTCAGAGGACAGTGGAGGGTGATATAAGGCCAAAATGGCAGCCTTCCAGACATGGATGAAAATGGATGGATTAGTGTGTTTAATTTCTATTCCACAGACACGATATTACTCTGAGTACTATGTGTAGACGAGTGTGGAAACAGAACGTGTTCTTGCAAAGAAAACACTTGCTTTACGTTCCCTTTTAAGATACTGTCATGTTGCCAGATATTGTATCCGTCTCAGATTTTTTTAAATCCTCAATTGGAAGAGGCCTGATTCCGATTTAATGATATCCAATTCCATTTCTGTCTTTTCGCTGCCAAGAAGCATTTCCCGATTGTACCACTGCAGAGCAGAGCAATGGAATAGTGTCAGTTGAACCAGGCAGCGTAAATCCAGCCATAATGCTGACCTTATAATACAGTGTTCACCTGCTCATTGTTCTTTCGCCAATTTGGTCACCTGCTGCGGATTTTACTCTAAGATGCTGTATTTTTCCACTTTCACTTAATGTCTCACTCGATCTTGTTCACCTCCAAAAGATTTGACAGCCGGATAGCAATTTTCCATAACTTGTACTGCTACAAAGAAGGCCAAATATTGCTCCAAGGCTCCCAAATGGAATCAGTAGCAGTATTCCGAAAATTCAGCAGACAGATGTTATGATGCATTTTAAAAAGGAATGTACTATTTGTCAATTGTATGTTGTGGACTACTTTTCAAAGAATTTTTATCCAGTTATTTAAAAAAATGATGGTTTAGCAACTGCGACAACATTGAAGGCAAGAGCGATAGAAAAACCGATTTCGAATTTCTAAAAAGTTAGTGACGTATGTTTGTGAAACCCCTTCATGTAAGGCTGAAAGTCCAAACCTCAGTCACACGACTGTTTTAGTTCCGACCCTTTGAGGTGGTGTATGAAGTGTAAAGCCAAATGCAATGTCTGGAGCAGAACGTAATCTGTCTCATTAGCCCATTGGGCAGAGATCATAAATGTCTTTGAGGCAATTTGAAGCAACTTGTCAATGACTTTCCACTCAGTGGGGGGAACAAATAGTTTTCTTTGATGAGCTGGTGGGGGGGGGAAACCCCCAGATGGTGACGTTTTGAGAAACTGTTGGAAATCGCAGCATCTCATTATGTGATCATTCATCATTACAATATGGAGGATTCTTTGTTATCGCTGCCATATTTGCTTCTTTGTAACTGCTGGGTCAAAAGCAACCCGATTTGGGTCAAAATTTCACTGACTCACTAACATGGATCAATCATCATTGAGTGGCCCTTTGATTATTCCCAACCATGGCAATTTTTATTTGATACAAACCCCCAAATTCCTTCAGAAAATGCTGATAAACATTCATTATGGGGGTCCAAGCATATTTCAGAGGGAGGGCAGTCCCCCCACCCACATCCCAGGTGCTAGACCCTGTCTTTGTTGGCCTCGTGGTTAGCGCGTCGACCTTACAACGCAGAGGGTCGTGTGTTCGATCTGGCCTTCCTGTGTGGAGTTTGCGTGTTCTCCCCCTGCCCGCGGGGGTTTTCTCCGGGTACTCCCGTTTCCTCCCACATTCCAAAAATATGCATGACAGGCTGATTGAACACT